GTGGTATGATTGGCATGGCAAAATTAAGGAACCTGGTAGGGATTGTAGTTCCTTGTAGTTGTAAGTACTAAGCAGGAGGTAGTGATTGATTTAGTTGAGAATGTTCCCTATTTGTCTTGTGGTAACTTGCGTGTATGGATGCCGACTCAAGTCATATGCCCAGTAATGTGATGATAGTGTCTGCGCCTTCTGTTTCTTATGGGGTACTGGGACGCCCAAGTGGTCAACCAGACTAAGCTGCCATGAGGCTTCTAGTGAAAAATATGCTTTCTTTGAGCAACAAGAAGTCTTCTAGATAGTGTATGACTGTAATGCCTCTGGATATGTTATCATAACCAGCACAGAGTATCTGCGAATATCGATAGTAGGTTAATCTGTAGCTCGAAAGTTGAGCAGGGAAAGGATTGCCCAATTTATGCCATGTAAGTGCCAGTGTGTAGGATAGATGGTAGCTGTTTACTGCGTTGATGATATTGGTCTTACTTAACCAAGCTTTAACCCATGCTTGAGTGATAGCTGTAAAGGTAGATCAATGGTGTTGTATAGTAAGAAGGGAGTTGAGACTTGGGGTAGCGGAGGTGTGTGGTGCCAATAAGTCTATGGTTAGTCTTTGTTTAAGGGAAGATTCCTTGTGACAATACCAATGTGTGTGTTTGGTGCCATGCTGTAAATGGTGGAGATTGGAAGACCCCTCTGCAAATCTTGGCTATGAGTGTGTTTACAGCCAATGGTTTTGTTGTGCTGACTAAGTGAGGGCATGCTATATTCCTTGAAGGTGTGTTTATGATACCTGTATGGGAGCCCTTTGAAGCTCCAGAGCTTTAGTAAATCTACTACAAGTCTGGAAGGGTGATGAGTCAGTAGTGTTGAAAATGCATTGGTGTGTACAGATGGTGAGTACGTTATTTGTAAGTTGTATTGGGCCACATGGTTTGTCATGTGCCTTGAACCATTTGAACATATATGCAACAGTCTATATGCAATGCAACTACTCATATCAATCGTCTCTGGTAGTTCAGAGGTGCTGGTACCTGGAGCCTGAGAGTGCTCGTCCATTTGTTTGGGACAGAACCCCTTCTGTATGGGTACCTGCACAAATAAACATCTCTACATATTCCAAATACCAACCCATCCAAGAGATGGTCAGTTCCCGATTTACCTGGAATCCCTGAATCTGACCATCACAGATACATCATCATACATATATATGCCTTGCTTCCCCAATGTGCTGGGATCATACGTGCAGGGTTAACATCTTGTGTCATAAGAATTGATTGTACCAGGTAACCGAGTTTCGGTTGTACAGTAACGTGAGGCCCAGCCTTGTGAGGGCTGTGGTGACCAACTCGAGATTGCCAGTCTGTCATAAAATTTTTGGCTCATGAGTTTGAGTAAGGCTAGCATAGCCTGGGTGTCACCTGAGTTGATGTAGCTGGGCCTTCCCCTGCCTCCGTGTTGTCCGTTGATGTATGGAGGAGTTTGAATAACTCTGCTTTCCTTGCTGTAGCAGGGTAGTGGATTTGTCACCTCCTTAGGTCGGTGGTAATGTGTGGGATCGTCCAGGATCTGATTGCTGCAGGACTAGCAACATCTCCTCTGCTTGAAGGTGTATCAATTCTAGCCGGGGTGCTAGGAAGAGGTGATTCTTCACCATCTTTTGGAAAAATACTTAAATAACAATAAAGATGCAATTATTTGTACCCAGGGTTCTTGTACTGGCTTGCTAGCTAAGCCGTAAGGCGAAACGATTAGGCTTGGTGTTTTTTGGTGACTGGTGAGGCCCTGCTAGTTGCCAAGTGGCTTGAGAGGCTCTATCTATGCTTGGCGCGAGGGGATTTTGTGTGGCCACCGAACATTGTGGCAGGATGTTGGCCTCTCGGTGACAGTAACCAGAAAATAGGAAGGGGAGTGACAGGTGAGGCCCTCTCTATGATACAATGCGAGGCGGCTAGCTCACGAGTGGCCCGAGGGGTGTATGCCTCCGAGTGTGAGGCGGGGTGTTGGCCTCGCGGGACCACTAACCGAAGCATAATGCAGAGAAAAAAGGGGGTAATACCTATTGGGCCCTAGAACCCTAATTGCCAGTACACTATTACTATTCCAGGGAAGGTAAGAGATGGATAACTACGTGAGCAGGTGTATGTACCTGGTAGTATGGTATTGAACCTGACAATCCGTATAGGTTTTTTAGTAGTAACTGTAACCTGAATGGATAAAACCGTATGGCATAAGGAAATATGGCATAGACCAAGCTTATCTTAATACGTACAGTATATGTGAAAAGTAAAGTGCCATGATGTGTAAATATTAAACATCGTAGCCATACTGGTTAAATATGTATCAATCTTAACCCATTAAGTGCCGTATGTACAAGTGAAAATGTGGTCTGTCCCCACCTTGTATGTTGTATGTCCCCTTGCTAGGGGAAAGTCTGTTGCGTGAGCAGCGTGCTGTGAAAAATGTATGTGAACTATATTACCAGTTACGTATATACAGACGCGTCTGCTACTGTGTAATAATATATGTATTTATACCTGATGTTGATATAGTGCTTGCTATGTGAATTGTTGTATGTCTTATTGAATGGTAGGGGTCAGTGAACATGGTGTTGCAAAATGCAAGTGCACTGGAGATCTGCCGAGTGCCCTATAGGTGGCAGTGTAGTTGGATACTGATTGGTATGTGAAATGTTGTTTGTCTGTTGACCTATAGGTGTCAGTGTTTTGGTGTTTGTAAAACCACATGAAAATTGTCAATGTACTTGACAGACCTGTAGGTGGCAGTGTTGATAGAACCACTGTTGGTCTTGATGTGAAATGTAAATTATTGTGAATTAAACCTGGATTTGAGCCCGTGCTGGAGTTTCGTTTATGGTTATGTTTAACCCCGTAAGGACCAAACTTCTGGAATAAAAGGGAATCATGACACGTCACACATGTCTTGTGTCCTTAAGGGGTTAAAACAATCTTATGTGTAATTTATATTGGCTGGTAAATTGTATATGACATGTGAAGACAGTTTTGCTGTTGACCAGTAGGGGTCATAAATGCTGATTGTATGGTAAAAATACCCTTTAACCCCTTAAGGACCAAACTTCTGGAATAAAAGGGAATCATGACATGACACACATGTCATGTGTCCCTAAGGGGTTAATCCTACCGTATGACAGATAGGAGTCAGTATAAAAGCGAAAATGCTGTAGTTAGTTTGTTTGCTTATGAAGTGAAATAAAGTCTGAGAAGACTGTAGTATACCGATTGACCGGTAGGGGTCAGCATGTAGGCGAAAATGCCGTGGTTTGTTGGTTTGTACATAAAATGCAATAATGTCTGAGAAGCCTGTAGTACACAGAATGACTGGTAGGTGTCAGTGTGTAGGTGAAAATGCAGTGGTTTATTGTTTTGTACATGAAAAGCAATAATGTCTAAGAAGCCTGTAGTACACCGAATGACTGATAGGGGTCAGTGTGTAGGTGAAAAATTAAGTGGTTTGTTGGTTTGTACCTGAAATGCAATAATGTCGGAGAAGCCTGTAGTACACAGAATGACCGGTAGGGGTCAGTGTGTAGGTGCATAAACAGTTTGAAACGGAATCAATTTACATACAGCATAGTAAAATGTACTTAAAATGTTTCACAAAACAAATTATCCTTAATCAGAAAAACCTATCTATGATTCCATTTTAATATATTTTGAAATAAAACTTGAAATTCATGACTATTCACATGTTAACGAATACCATGATAGTATCTGGTCGGGCAGGTATGACACAGAATATATAGAGAGGTGCAAATGCAGTGGTTCGTTGATTTGTACATGAAATGCGATAATGTCTAGGAAGTCTGTAGTACACCCAAAGACCAGTAGGGGGTTTAAACGAATGATATGCATGAACATGCAATGGTTTTAGAACAGACTTAGACAAAATGCAGCAGTAAAGTGAGGACCTGACCCTTGCATGGTGCCGTGGGACTGATGCCTGGCGTAATGGGTAGGTCAACTTACGGTTTGTGAGTCACTTGGACACCATCCACAGCGATAGATTGAAGAAAGAAGGTGGTAGGCCGGAAAAGCCTGTGGCTGGATTCCTGACACAGCTCAGCTTAGAAAACCTCATGGAGTAATCAGGTAAAATGGCGTCTGGATGACCCGGAAGTGGAAATCATTCTGATGCTGACCTCAAGCGATATGAGTCAGGTAAGGGGTGTCCCTTATATAGGGGAGTGAATTAATTTAAGCCCCTCCCACAAATACAGGCAAAACTGCCTTAATACATATATATAAAAAAATACATATAAATATATTTATATAATATTTTTACATAATTATGTAATTTTATTAATTACAATTTGAGGACCTGCCTAACAACTCACGCAGAAAGTACAGAGAATTTAGTTTGCAAGCTTTATATTTAACCCTGTAACTTTCCAGGACACCATGAAACCTGTACATAGGAGGTACTGTTTTACTAATGAGACTTTGCTGAACACAAATATTAGTGTTTCAAAACCGTGAAACGTATCATGATGATATCATCGTCGGTGAAAGGGCCATTTTTTTGCATTTTTCACACACAAACTACACTTTCACTGACAATATCATTGTTGTAATATGTTTTACGGTTTTGAAACATTAATATTTCTGTTCAGCAAAGTGACCCGGGTATAACAGTACCACCCATGTACAGGTTGGATGGTGTTTTCAATAGTTACAGAGTCAAATATAAGGCTTGCGTTTCAATTTTTTCACATTGAAATTTGCCAGATTGGTTTTGTTGCCTTTAAGACCGTATGGTAGCCCAGGAATGTGAATTACCCCTCTGACATACCATTTACAAAAGTATGCAACCCAAAGTATTGCAAATGGGTTATGTCCAGTCTTTTGTAGTAGCCACTTGGTCACAAACACTGGCAAAAATTAGCGTTAAAACTAGTTTTTGGCATTTTTCACACAAATATGAACACTAACTTTGGCCAAAATTATATATAAGTGTGGGTGCATTTAAAAAAAAAAAAATTATTTTCAAATATTTTGTTTGTGAATTGAAGTTTTATTACAAACCAAATGCATAGAAAACAGTTAAGTAATCGGGCATGCAGGTCCACAGCAAAAAGCAGATCACATAATTTTGTATTTTCCAGTTTCGTGGCCTTAGAGGGCCATTCAAGTAATATCCTATTCCAAGTTCGGACACGCAGACACAATAGCAGAACATAAGAATATAACGTGCAAAGCGTGTAACAAAAAGTTAGCATCAAAACAAGTAGCCTTCTCTACCGTAGCCTAAAGTGCCAAGTGAACATACAGGTAATACTTCATTTCTCACAAAAAGCAATGAGGTAGAAGCCATTTGCTAAACACCTGCCTTTCCCGAATCCATATTGTCACGTTCACCTGACTCTCTAAGCCAAACAGAAGTGCATATTCAACGCAAACTGAACTTCTAGAGAAAGAGTGGCAAATGAGCTGCAATACCCTTGATCAGGGCACATACATCCTACTGGACACCCATCCCTTCCCCCTCTACTGCGGGGTAACTGGTTTCCCAGATTGTCTGCCAGACGTCCATAAACTAACAGTGTCTGAAAGTCCGCTTGGTATACTACAGTTTACCAGTGCATCCATAAGTCCATGAATGGTCCTGTACCATTAATGTCAGCTCTTCTGGTCTACGTAACTCTTCCATTTTTATCAAACCAGACTGTCAAAGGTGGGGGCTCGTCGTTTTTTTTACAGAACAGGAGCAGTACCTGTTTTGCAGTGTTTAACCCCTTCCCGCCGTTACGGCTTTCTATGCCGTCGCGGCGGCATAGAACACCGTAACGGCTTTGAGCCCCAGGGGATCGCAGCTACTTACCTCCGCTGCGATCCTCTTCTGGTGGGCTGCCAGACCGCCCAGGCAGCCCTCCTCCGGCGAATGAGGCCCCCGGGGGCCATGTGATCACTCTCAAAGAGCGATCACATGGCCCCCTATAACTGGCTATGGATCTGCCAGCAGTGGGACTGTCTGAAATATCAGACAATCCCCCTGCTGGTGGGAAGTGTAAAAAAAATAAATAAATATGTGTAAAAATAAATCAAATATATTTTTATATATATATATATAAACATCATACGTAATGTATTTTAATATTAAGTATATATTAAAATACACTTAGAATGACATTACATATATATAATATGTGTGTGTGTGTGTGTGTGTGTGTATATATATATATGTATAATTACAATAATAAATTAAATAATAAAATAAATAAAATATTGAAACAAAATTTAATATAAATTATATATTCATATGTAATTTCATTCTAACTGTATTTTGTTTATATATATATATATGCATGCAACAAAATACACTTAGAATGACATTCTATATCTCTCTCTATATATAAAAAATACAAATAACCGCAAATAAATATATATAGATAAATACATATAATTACATAAAAGATTACATTAGTATACACGTAGAATTTAAATACCTATAAATGCATATATATTAAAATTCTACGTGTATATTTAAATAATCTTTTAACATAATTATGTGATTTGATTAATTAAAATTTGATTGACATGCCTGACAACACAGGGAGAAAGTGCAGAGAATTTAATTCGCAAGCACTATATTTGACCCTGTAACTCTCCAAGACTCCATAAAACCTGTACATAGGGGGTACTGTTTTACTCGGGAGACTTCGCTGAACTCAAATATTAGTGTTTCAAACTGGTAACTTGTATTACAACGATGATATTTTAAGTAGAAGTGAAGTTTTTTGCATTTTTTACAAACGAACATCATGTTTATGGACTATATTATTGTTGTAATATGTTTTACTGTTTTAAAACACTAATATTTGTGTTAAGTGAAGTCTCCCGAGAATAACAGTACCTGCCATGTACAGGTTTTATGGTATTTTGGAAAGTTAGAGAGTCACATATAAAGCTTGCATTTCATTTTGTTGACATTGAAATTTGCCAGATTGGTTATGTTGCCTTTGAGACCGTATAGTAGCCCAGGAATAAGAATTACCCCCATGATGGCATACCATTTGCAAAAGTAGACAACCCAAGGTATTGCAAATGGGGTATGTCCAGTAATTTTTAGTAGCCACTTAGTCACAAACACTGGCCAAATATTAGTTTTTTGCTTTTTTCACAAAAAAACAAATATGAACACTAACTTTGGCCAGTGTTTGTGACTAAGTGGCTACTAAAAAAGATTAAACATACCCCACGTTCAATACCTTGGGTTGTCTACTTTTTCAAATTGTATGCCATTAAGGGGGTAATTCTCGTTCCTGGGCTACCACACCGTCTCAAAGGTAACATTACTAATCTGGCAAATTTCAATTTGAAAATGGAACGTTCTATATTTGACCCTGTAACTTTCCAAAACACCATAAAACCTGGTAATGGGGGTACTGTTGTACTCGTGAGACATCGCTGATTACAAATATGTGCATTTTTTTGCAGTAAAACCTAACAGTGTTATGACATTTACAACTAAAATGTGAGGCGGAACTAAAAAAATCCTCCACAGAACCTCTCGAATCAGTACCAAAAAGGCTTGATCTTGGGGCAGTCCCACCAAAGATGGAGAAATGTGCCTGGGCGGGTGTGACACCTCCAACATTCATCATTTAGTGTGGAGTCTATGCGTTGCACGTTTTGTGGCATCCAATACCACATGCACAAGTCCTTGTATGCTGTCTTTTGTGTTTTACTGCTATCATGTTAGATAACCGTTGTGTCTTACTGCGGAGATCTTGCAAACAGGCAATATAGGATTTGGTTCTTATTTTGTTCAGGATCCAAGCAAGTTTACCGTATTTGTTGCTGTTAACATAAAATAATGCCTTGGTATGCTGTAGAGAGCGTTGGAGGTGGTGAAGAAGAGTGGCTCTTCAATTCCACAAGTTCTTTGAATGTGGACAGGTCTTGATCAGATTTGTGCTTCAGGTCTAGTGCATGTATCTGTCCCAGGAGGGCGAGAATGTCAGCTTCCCTATATTTCTTCAGGGCAGGGCAAAGATGAGTGGGTCAGTGAGGATTGTCTTGTTAAGTCTCCAGTTAGTCATCCAAAGTTTGAAAAGAGGGGAGGACACGGTCATGTTCAGTCCAAGTCATCACCCCTATGTTTACTCTGGTATCCTGAGAGAGGTAACAGTATGGTACAAAAAAAGTAGTCAAGTCTTGAGTACTTATCATGAGGGATAGAGTAATGCGTGTACTCTCTGGTGGCAAGATGAAAAGACTTCCAGCAGTCGGTAAGTATGTAGTAGGCCCTTAACTCCTCAAAAGATCAGTGCGGGAATCCCCGAAGTGCCCGTTGATGTGTCAATGTGGGGGCACATGATGTTAAAGTCCCCTCCCAAGATTAGAAAACCCACTGTGAACAACATCAGCCATTTAATTGCGTGCTGTAGTAACTGCCTTTGTCTTGGGGGCATAAATATTGGCAAATGTGTAACTCTAGCCCAAAATGATCCCCTTACAAATATAACGACCTTCCTTGTCTACTAGTGTTTCTTTGTGTTAGAATAGGATTGATTTGTCAATAAGGATTGCTGTCCCATGAAATTTACTCAGTATTGTTCCTATTAAAACCCTGTTGGTAAATATGATTGGTCAGTTTCAGGGCAGTTGTTTTTCTAAAGTGGGTTTCTTGTACATAAACAACATGCACATTCTTAGATTTAAAATCCCTAAGAACTTTTATGGGAAGCTCCCACCCTACCTGAGCAGAATGCTCTCCCTGGCCGTTCACACCTCCTATAACCTCCGATCCAGTACCAGCACTTTATTTAGTCTACCTCAATACAAAAAGAAAGTAGCCCGATCCTCCTTTTTCCTATAGAGCACCGCAATTATGGAACGACCTCCTGCACACTTTCAAATCTTCCCCCAGGCCTAAAGTCCTTTATCCCTCTTTACATACCTCAAAACAGAATGCACGTCATGGTTGATTATATATTTCCTACCTGTTCTATGTTACATTTTGGATATATTGTATATTAATATTGTTTTTGTATTTTATTGTACCCTATTGTAGCAATGCAATGTTTTGCAGACCCAGAACATACTTGAAAACTAGAGAAATCTCAATGTATCTTTCCTGGTAAAAAAATTTTATAAATAAAAAATAAAGTTCTCTCTTCTCAGAGGTATTGAGTCCTCTGACAGTATTGTCAGATCGGGTGGGGAAAATGTGTTGTTCCCGTCGCCCATCATCCCCCGTGACAAGAACAGGCACAGGCTAACATACCTTAAAAAGGTCCTGGATTACCAGTCTCCCCTTTATACCTATACCAAGCAGAGAGCAGTCTAGGCTCTAGGGTGTAATGTAGCGGTAGGATGGAACAGGTGAAAAAAATTGAAATCACAAAGCAGACACAGCAAATAAACAATAGAATAACAATAATGCCAAATATTATTATTAATATATTTTTCAATAACAATACAGAAAAGATAACTATAACAAACAAGGGAAATACAATGAATGTACATCATCCAATACTACATCTTAAATGTATATTAAATCAGTACCGTAATCATAAAATATAGCAGTTGTAAAATTAAAATATCTCATGTGTCTTAAGAAGTTGTGTCTACATTAAAAAATATACACACACACACAATGATATTTATGATATATATATATATATATATGATGGTCTACTGCGTCACTGGGCATGAAAGCACGCCTCCCAACTGTCCTGCTTTTGGCTGGACACCAAGGAACTGTCCCCGTGCAGCAGCAAATCATTAGTACTTGTGCTGTGTAGCAGCATTAGGACCATGCAGGGAGCGCTTTATCTGCGCTCTCTTTACGGTCCTGATTGAAGGGGGCTTGCCAGGCTGCTTGTCGGATGGCACACCCTACCCATTTTCAGGTTGGCCAGTCCTCTTGTTGAACAAGACCAACCCTTACTTACACAGTCCACCCCACTGTGGGCATTATAGCATGTATCCCTGGCGAGCCCCCACAAAACTCCACCCACACATTCCAAAGTTGGGAGGCATTCGACATCATGGGGTCCATAAGTGGTTAATAAACAAATTGGTCAATAAAGGATTAACCTTTGTTTGTAAAACTTAGTCTTGGCTTTATTTTACTCTTCACCTGGAAAGAACCTATCATTTTGGATTCACACCACACAGTTGTTTTTGCAGAACTGTGCAGAGGAATATAAATTCAATGTAAAATAAAAAAAGATGAATCTGCTCTGACCGCCCTGATCTTCTGTTAGCGGGAGAAAAGTCCTTGCATTCATTTTTTTTCCTGTCCGCATATGCTTAAAGGAACACTACAGGATCAGGAACAAACATGTATTCCTGACCCTATAGTGTTTATCCCACCATTTAGGTGGCTTGCCCCCACACAAGTTTTTAAAACTGACTATTTCCAGCGCCGTGCGGGTCAGCTGGCACTGGCCCTGCCCCCTTTGTGACATCATCAAAATGGCCAATTTTTGGCGATGGGAAAGCATTAGATTGGCTAAAATCAGCACGGGAGCGGGGCCAAATGCTTTTTTTGACCAATCAGGACTTCCTCAAAGAGATGCATTGAATCAATGCATTGTAAAGCACTGCACAATTTGTTGGTGCTATATAAATAATAACATAATAATGCATCTATGAGTAAAATTCTGTGCCTGCATGCAGAGCGCAGGGATGCCGAACGTCAGGGCTGTTTTTTCAGCACCACCTCCAGTGGCCATTTGGAGGTGTTCCTAGAGGCAATGTAAACACTACCTTTACATAAAAAATGCCTGAAGTGAGCTATTCTACTCACCAGAACAACTATATTAAGCTGTTCTGGTGAATATAGTGTCCCCTTAATTATTTAAAACCCCCTTCCCAAGCATTGAAGTATACCCTAGAAAATAAATAGCTAGAATAGTAGATAAAATGAGAAAGAGGCTGGCTGGCTGTAACCCCGTGCTATCACCGTGCAGGAGGCTGGCTGGCTGGCTGTAACCCCGTGCTATCACCGTGCAGGAGGCTGGCTGTAACCCCGTGCAGGAGGCTGGCTGGCTGTAACCCCGTGCTATCACGGTGCTGGAGGCTGGCTGTAACCCCGTGCTATCACCGTGCAGGAGGCTGGCTGGCTGTAACCCAGTGCTATCACCGTGCAGGAGGCTGGCTGTAACCCCGTGCTATCACGGTGCAGGAGGCTGGCTGTAACCCCGTGCTATCACGGTGCAGGAGGCTGGCTGTAACCCCGTGCTATCACGGTGCAGGAGGCTGGCTGGCTGTAACCCCGTGCTATCACGGTGCAGGAGGCTGGCTGTAACCCCGTGCTATCACCGTGCAGGAGGCTGGCTGGCTGTAACTCCGCAAGCACACGTGTGCAGGAGGGGCTGGCTGGTTGTAACCCCCTAAGCACGGTGCAGGAGGCTGGCTGTAACCCCGCATATCACCGCGGCAGGAGGTTGGCTGGCTGTAACCCCCGCACACCGCAGGTTGGCTGTAACCCCGTATATCACGCAGAGGTTGGTTATTGTAACCCTTCGCTATCACGGTGCAGGAGGCCGGCTTCGTAACCCGCTATCACCGCAGGAGGTTGGCTGTAACCCGCAAGCACGCAGGAGGCTGGCTGTAACCTCGCGGCACACGGGGTGCAGGAGGTTTGTTTGCCAAACCGCGCTAATGCAGGAGGCTGGCTGGCTGGCTGTAACCCCGTGCTATCACCGTGCAGGAGGCTGGCTGTAACCCCGTGCAGGAGGCTGGCTGGCTGTAACCCCGTGCTATCACGGTGCTGGAGGCTGGCTGTAACCCCGTGCTATCACCGTGCAGGAGGCTGGCTGGCTGTAACCCAGTGCTATCACCGTGCAGGAGGCTGGCTGTAACCCCGTGCTATCACGGTGCAGGAGGCTGGCTGTAACCCCGTGCTATCACGGTGCAGGAGGCTGGCTGTAACCCCGTGCTATCACCGTGCAGGAGGCTGGCTGGCTGTAACTCCGTGCTATCACCGTGCAG